AATACCGTAAGCTACTGAAGAAATCTTAATAATTAGGTAATATTATGTGTGTAAATATGAAATATATGTTTTACAGCTGCTAAATTTTTATTATTAATTAGACAAATGTTAGATTTTTAACTTATCATATTTTATTATGAATAAAAACTTTTTCGTATAAATTAAAAAAAAAATCAATAGGTACAATTTGTATCGCCAATTCAAGAAATTCAACGAAACCAATTATCATACATAAAGTTTAATATTAGGTACTATAAATTATAAAAGCATAACAGTTAAATAAAAAAATAGTTGATGCAAATGCACTTTTAAGGAATTTTGGAATATAGCTCCCGACCCGATGGTAGTGTTGCCTATGACGTAGTTCTCGTCGTTCAAATGACGTCATACCGCCTGACGCCCACGCTACTCCCGTTGGCGTCAGACCATTTGGGATTATAATAAAAAAATAAGGGAACGAATACATAAACCACCGCTATCCCTCGTCATCCCTTTTCATTCCTGTCTCTCCTTCATGAAACGAAGCACATTTTGAATGCTTACGTCACCGTTTTCTTTTATTTTCCATCGTATGTAATAATGTATGTTCAAAAATAGTGCTATGATAAAATTATTAAAAAATAATACACATGTACACAATGTCAATTATAATGTTGTTTAAAAGTATACCTTGATAAATAATAAAAAAAAACCATGGATGACCCTTGACCTGATATCACATAAATTGACCGCTGTAACAAGTAACTACAAAAGTGTTATCCCCCTGATTACATCTAATTAAACTTGTTTTAATCTTAATAATATAATTTGTGTAATTAAAGGATATTTGCGATCGAGTTTTAAAAAAAATGAATTAAGTAGTATGTATTTAATTTAATTTAAAGTTTAATTTTAAACTTAAGTTTTAAAGTCGTTTGTACTAAACTATATGAAACACAATAAAAAAAATCGTATTGACATTGGGTTATGACGTAGTTTAATGTTCAACATTTGCTTTTAACTATATAATTGAGATCGTGTACCTATATTAAAATTTTTATTGCTTACTTGTTTTTATTTAAAAATATTGTATTTTAATCATGTAGGTACTATAAAGTAAAGTTAATCCACCTAAGTAAATTTATACATTTATTACTACAGTTATTAATTTTGAACTGTTTGTATAAATTCCTGACAACAGAAATAATATCGTAAATCGTCGTGCAAACGAATAATACAAAATCGTTAAAACATTAACTACATTTTAGTCGTCGCTTTTATTATAAATTATAATTTACGTATAATCGGTGCGACGGCGCGGTATCATATACTCATTTGCGACCAGACAGAATCGACCACACAACAGATGCGTGTTCAGGAATTCTGTGTGGGGTGGTTGGACAATTTTTTTTTATAGATCCGTAAGGTTAAGAGGCCGTTATATTGTTTAAAAAAAAAAATTGCATGTAAAATCATCAGTATTATTTATTTGAAATGATTTAATGGACAAAGTCAATTTTCCAATTTTTCCCCGTTAACCCTTTTTTCCCCCTTCTCACATTTACACCCAATGTCTATGATTGGTAATTGTCGTCGCGTTGCGATGGCTAGTGTTGTACTAGACACAGTGCCTACCGTTAGCGTGTAAAGCGGAAGGACTTATCTAGTAATTAGATATTTTACGGCTGGTATTTATTTTTTCCTGGCATCACCGCTCTACTGTTTCGCCTTGCCCTTTGAACGATATTTTTAGACCGTACCCGGTGACACCCGCGTGGCCGGCAGCGTTCAGTCGCCGACGTCGGCGGAGATTCGCGTACAATAATTACCGGTCCACACGGTAAATAGTAAATACCAAACGTGGTGGCGGAGACGGTGGCAGTGTTGATGGTAGCAGCGGTAACCGAACCGAGTGCACGGTGGTGTCGCTGTCGTCGGTGATGGTGGGGGGATCAGCGCGGGTCGTCGCCGGCGACGACTGATCGCGGATCGGCCGTGCCGCGGCAGTAGTTCCGTTTCGTTTGCGGTGCCCGATCGTTACGTAGTGTGTGCGTGCGCCCTCCGGACCGGACCGCTCGTCACCAAGTAGCCGTCGCTGCCGTGTCGTCGTCGCCGAGTCGTATTTTTTACGTGTTCCTGTGATCCGAGCCGCGTGTGGTGTGTTTCATCAAATACACGTTACTTTTCCTGATCAAAAGCATCTCATCACTGCGCACCCGTGCAGGAGGTAGACAGTGGGTTCATTGCTCTGCTCCTCGTCGAAACCGTGTGCAGTTCACGCCCGCCAGAAGCTCGCCGCCGAGACGCCACATAGGCCGGCCCCGCGTTATACGATGGAAAAAGACCTATACCTCAAAGTACGGCAATTTTTCCATTTTTATTTTCACGTCTCGTCGCGAACCATTAATATTACAAAAAAAAAAATTTTAGTAATATCACAATGTTATCCACCCGTTCGTAAAGAAAACCGCGCACGCGGTGTCTAGTAGTCGTCGTCGTAGAAGTTTCGCGAATTTGCTCCGTTCCCGGCGGGGCTTTTCCTCTACCCCGCCGGACGCCCCGCGTAGAATGTTCCAGAAGGTTCGTCGCCGCCGCGCCCACGGTACGCGAGCAGCTGCTGCTCTCGGGAAAAATCTCGTCCTCGTTGTTGCCCGCCGTGAATTTTTTCGCTTTCCTCGGCTCGATCTATCACCTCGATAACAACAACAATAATATACTTGCAGCTGGTATCGACAAATCGTGGCGTAAAATTCGTGCTCGTTAATAATAATATTCAACATTATCTACGCGTGTTTTACTCTCGTGTGTGACATATTGTTTCGTTTTATAAACGGACCGAGAACGGCCGATATTTTTTTCACTCGTGTTTTTTTACTATCGGTTACCGGAAATTCGATTACGGCGATAATATAATAATATTACGGACCATATGCGAAGGTCGCGCGTAAGTGCCTTACCATGTTTTGTATTTTCGTGATTTTTCCGCTATCTATCGTTGATATGTCAAAAACACAAAATAACACATTTTTGATTAAACGAAGTCTCATTGATAATAATATTGTTTCGTTGACTTCAGTTCGAATATCGGTTACTTGTTTAAGTTCCATTAAAAAAAAATATATATTTTTTTGAATTAAATTAAATTTGGTAACCTATTCGAAATCCTCTTTTTAATATAATATGGTGAGTATACAGATCGTACGCAGGCTGTATTCCCAATTTGTAAAACTTTGCAAAACGGAAGGTTGTTTACAGCAATTTACGAATTGTAAATATGTATTACGATCGTTAGAGATCAACAATTCTCTGCACGCTGACAAAAAAATAAAATTCTGCATTATTGTCGTCCTTGACTCGTAATGTGCTCGCCTATAGGTCGGTGGCACAATGGTCCAGATTTGTCGACGTAATTCTTCCGTTCGAATATTTATTTCATGAAATTTGCCACAACGCGTTGGTATATTATGCGTGAACGTTGCATAAAATATTCGTAGGTACCTGTTATTAATAAAATTTAAATCGAATTGTTTATGACGGCAGCTTAAACAATAAAATGGTAGGTAGGTACCTATATAACTTGATAGTGATGATTATTAAGCGTATTGTTATATCGATTATTTTGTAATATTAATTTACAGTGTTAACATATGCTTTGCATTTTTGTAAAACACGAATCCTACGTTATTTCGACGCAATAATCTTGTGGTTTCGCTATCGCTTCAATGTATTTGTTGCGGTCACGATTTCTCGTTAGTGGAAATAAAAACTCCGCCAAATATGTACGCGAGTCGACCGCCGTTTCGACCGGTCCAGTACTGTCACTGGGCCTATCGTATTTTTTTTTTGTTTTTCATCGATCTGAGCAAACGAACATTACAGTTGACGTTATAGCCTCGGTTGGAACGTCATCGCGTGCATCATTCTCCGCGTATTTTCCGTCATGATCGGCTGTCATCGTCGCCTAACCTAACCTAACCCGCGCGCCAACCATGTGCCGCCGGACGTCGGCGGGTGTGCACAGCTGCTGTGCCCGTGTCGTGGACTCTACGCCGATCGTCGTAAACACAACGTGCGCAAACACACGACGGACTGTTTTATAAATCCGTGAACCGACGCGAATTGGCTTTTTCACTCGCTCACATTTACGTCGCCTGTCGTGTGGCTTTTATCGTTATTCTGATCGCCCGTGGTAATCATCATGGTATCATTCACTAAATGGGGGGGGGGGTCGAGCTCGACTTTTGGCCACGGCATAGCAGTTACCTGCAGGTTTCGGCGCGGTACGACACCAGTATGATTATACCAGTGCCGCAGTACGTGTTGTGTGAGGCTCGACGACTTGACACATATGGCAACGCACATGCTCGACTTTGGTCGACATGATTTCGAAATCGACCTTTCTTATGCCAGAATATATTATAATAGTACAACGTCGACCTTTGTTCGTTTGCCCTTGAACAACAACCAACCTTATCCATGATATGTGTAATGTGTATCACCATTCACCTTTGAGTCAACGCCGTGTGGTTAGGGTGTACACTGTACAATGCCAATTATATGATATTAATCACAAGGGTTGACAGTAGATTTATGTTTTTCTATAAAATTATTAATTCCTGTATTCAGTGTTATTGGGTAGTATAAATTGCCTTGTCCCTCCACGGAACCTTCGTCTTTTCTATTCCCATTTGTCCCATATAATCTCGCATATAATATCTAAAAAAACAATCTTTGGACAGGATGATGACGCAGGGCAACGAATCTATCATTCCTCATTTGGTTTATTATTATTACTATTATTAGGTATATTATATTATTTCAATGTAATTGTCTTACTATTTTTTTTTATTACTTTTTACACATTTCTTAGTTTGTCTGTGTTTAAGATATACATATTACTATATTAGCTTTAACATATTTGGAATTGGGTTCAACCCATATATAATAAAATAATAAATATGTAGGTATCTCCTATCCGATTCGGTTAACCGCAACTCTGCTTGTGTTTGTTTTTGTTACAGAACGGACGTCTAAACGTGTCGACAGCCGACTTAAACCACGTGCGACCCGCTGCCATGTTGTCCACGTGTGACGACCGCCATCGTGGGGCCACCACCAACGCCGCAACCACTAGCGGCCGTGCACAACAAACCGATCTCAGCCGCCTGGCCGTCCTGAGCTACGAACAGGTGGCCCGACTGAACGACGTGATGGACGAGACAGTCAGCATCCACGGCCGCGGAAATTTCCCCACGCTTGAGGTGCGTCTCCGCGACCTAGTGGCGATGGTGCGCGACCGGCTACGTGCCCAAGCCGGACCAGAAGACGACGATGTTGCGTTCCCGGCCGAAAGGTCCGCAGCTCCGTCACCGGATGCCGACGACACGTGCTTCCAGGTGCGGAGCATCAGACTTAACGGCGGGGCGGCCTCGCACGTGCTGACCACAGACACTCAGCCCTATAACGACCTGGACCTGATATTCAACATCAGCCTGTCAGGGAACCGGGACTTCGACCGCGTCAAGTCGGCCGTGCTCCGAGCCCTGGTCGACTTACTGCCGGAGGGTGTCAGCCGCAAGCGGATGACGCCGTGCAGCATCAAGGAGGCATACGTGAGCAAAATGGTCAAGGTAAACAAGGACGGCGACCGGTGGTCGCTGATATCGCTTGGCACGTTACCGGGTCAGCGGAATGTCGAGCTCAAGTTCGTCGATCGCATGAAGAGGCCGTTCGAGTTCAGCGTAGATTCGTTCCAGATCGTGCTCGACTCTCTGCTGCTGTTCTACGAGTGTTCCAGCGGCGTGCCGATCAGCGAAAGCTTTTACCCGACCGTGGTCGGCGAGTCTGTGTACGGTGACTTCCGGGATGCCATGTACCACCTGGAGAACAAGCTGATCGTCACCAGGAACCCGGAGGAGATCCGGGGCGGTGGGCTACTCAAGTACTGCAACCTGTTGTTGCGCAACTACGCACCCGATTACGATGGTGACGGAACTAAGAAGCTGGAACGGTACATGTGCTCCAGGTTCTTCATCGACTTCTCCGACATACACCAGCAGCGTGCCAAGCTGGAGAACTATTTGAAAAATCACTTTTGCGCGCCTCAAGAGGAATACATGAAGCTTCAGTACCTCAACGTGCTGAAACAGGTGGTCGAGGAGAGCACCGTGTGCCTGATGATACACGAGAGGCATCAGACGCTAGTCGTTGATCGCCGAATTGTCGTGGCGGCTGATGGCCGGTCAAGGCATGTACTACTATTACCATCCACAGCCGCAGCTGACCATGTCCATCGGGCACCATAGTCAATTGCCGGCACAACTACATTGCCCTTCATAAGTGTGTTTGAATTTGATTTTTTTTAAATATTATTATTATTTTTTTTTTTTAGAAAAATGATACGTTTAACAATTTAACAACAAAATGTTCATATTATGTTATTATATATATACATGATCTCTAAAAAAAAAGTCTCTCGCACTCTGCCTCGCCCCCTTTTCCCAACAAATTTTTTTTTGACACCCGCGTAACGGCGCCGACCCAGTGAACAAATTTTCACGTTTGTATATTTTCCGTACGACTGAATGATTTATCTTTAAATGTCTGTTAATTTATTTAAATTGTTGTTTAATATATATTATGATTGCGCATTCGCGTTTTACGTACGTTATCCGTTAATAAAAATGTATTAGGCTTTATGAGGTTGAACAAAAAAAAAAAATTATATTTACTTTCGTTGCGTACTTAATTGGCTACAATTTTTTTTTTCGTTTTGGCAGCCATCGTTGACTATTGCATATTATCTATATTATATGAACCTAAAGAGGGAATACATTCTGCAGTATACAGAGCGGAACGGTCAACAATTGAAACACCAAATTTATTATTATGTTTTTACTTTTTTCTAATCCAATATTTAATTTAAAAACAAAATAATATTAATATATATTATTTATACATATATCTATGATTCGGAAGCCCACTAGACGGTTAATATTGCATTCATTTTATAGCAGACCGTCTTGTAATATTGGAGATACAATCAATCCGAAAATCTGTCTTAAATATATATAGTATTTATATGGTAAGAAAAAAATGTTCTTGGCCCGAGTTTGAGAGACTTATTCTTATTATTTTCTTTTTAATATATTTGTATATATAATAAATACACACACACACGCGCATTCACCGTGCGTAATACGATGTACTATAACAAAATTTAAACAGTTGTTTTACTCGAAATTAAAAATATTATAATATATTATATCGCGCGTCCATGATAATATCTCGACCTGTGAGATGTGCGTATTGCGGGGAAAAAATGTTAAAAAAAAAATTTAAAAAACATATGATAAGAACCGGTTACCGCGCCGAAATTTTTAAATCGTATAATGATATATCATTCTTATATAATAATATTATTAATCGTCCCCCCTTACAAATATTGTGAATAAAAGTTAAAATTTTTTATTAATTTAACCCCCCCCCCCCATAAAAAAAAAAATTAAAATAAAAACAAAAAAAAATCTAATTAAATTATACGTCTTATTTATAACATTGCATTGTTTGTAATAAACATTCCGATTTTTAAAACGTGTATATAATTATAAATATTATAATATTACGTCGAGGAAACACATTTTACGAAAGAAGATGAACATCGTGACGCGCGTGCGCACACCATCTCTCGCTATAGTGTCTGTAAACCATGCGATTATTAAATACAATAACTTAAACGTTTATTTTCGTTTAAGGGCGCGTACACTACTTGATAAATACCCATTATAATATAATTATTATACAATTATCCATACAGTGTCACGTGTCAAGTTGTTACAATTTATTTTGTACGAAATAATCGTTAAATTTATTTATTTTTTTTTTTTTTTATAATAAAGCTTCCAATCCAATGTTTTTTCAGTATTAAACAATTTTTTTTTTTTTAAAGTTATGAGAAATTATTTTAAATTTATACACCTAACGTCTTTTTATCGAGCAATTCTGAATGTCCTAGAGTTATAAAATGTGATATTATTATGTCAATCTATTATTATTATTATTATTAATTATTATTATTATAATCATCATCATATTATATTATTATATATAAATATATATTATTCTTATTATATATTATTGTTCTTATAAACTTAAATGTAATTTTCTTCTTGAATTATGTTGTTTTCATCGTTTTATCGTCTGTGACGATATTATATCCTCGGTTGTTGTCCGTCTACCGAGATTTGTACGTAGTACGTTCTATATATACATATATATATATAGGTACACATCTTCCAGTAATAATAATATTATATAATTATTATAATTGATTCCCCCTTCCCTTTTTCTTTTGTTATATAATTACCAGATTGGCGTTTAGAGTGAAACCACAAAAATACGCACTTGTTTGTAAAAAAAAAAAAAAAATGTTTATATAAAAATAATAAGGCTGAAGTCTTTTTAAGTTTTTCTCTTTTACGATATTATGTGTTAATGAAACATTTAAAAGTATATATGATATTAATGATATTTTACGTATATATTCAAAATATTGTTACGAAAAAGAAAACCATTAGCGTTTAATCATTTTTAAATAAAAGAATATTTTAATTATTATTAGATAGTCTTTGTTTAGTGTACTATGTAATAATGTTTTAAACAAAAAAAATATAAACCATTTTATTTGTGTAATAATTATTTTTTGTTGATTTATTGGATTTTTATGACATTTACATAATATTAATTATTATAGGTATGGGCGTGTATGCGTTCTGTTTTCAACCAATATTGCAGATTTCATCGTGCGCGACCGTGGTCACCGATTTTTTGAGTAAAAACTCATAATTATAGGTGAAATTTTAGTGTATGCAGCGCACAGTTCTAGAGAAGAACACGCTAGAGAGACGTTTTTCGTGCGGGGGCGGTATATCGAGAGAGTTCAAAACGTATTTCGGTCGATGAAAAACATGATATTGCATGGGTGGAAAATCGTTAAGTACTCCGCTGAAACATTATTCGGGCAAGTGTGTACGTATATAATGAGTGTGAAGTGCGGAGAGGGAGCGCATATATAACCATAATATCGTGTATCGTCTGCGGACTGTAGATAAACCCACGCGTGAAAATTCTCAATTCCAAATATAATAATAATACGCACGGGAAAATAAAATATATCTGCCGGACAACTGCATATCCGGTTATGACGACGGTCGAAAAAACATTTTTGCACCCGTTTCCGCCCACGTTTTTTTTTTTGTAACTTTTGAGTCTGTTGTAATTCGCACCTGTACACGCTCTAAGGAAGTACACAGCCGTCCGCGGGTAGTATATTCGGTCGGTGACGAATTTCCACGGCTTGCTGGCCGGAAAATCATTAAATCCCCTCCTCTGCGAAATTAATCGGCAAAGTACTGTCTGCGTGTGTACAACGAGTGCGAAGTGGAGAGGTATAGCGTATACCGACATGAATAATATTATATAATTCTCAATTCCAAATGTAATAATAATACGCGGCGTGCACGGGAAAATAAAATATCTGCCGGACAACTGCATATCCGGTTATGACGACGGTCGAAAAAACATTTTTGCACCCGTTTCCGCCCACGTTTATTTTTTTTTTAACTTTTGAGTCTGTTGTAATTCGCACCTGTACACGCTTTAATAGGAAATACACAGCCGTCCGCGGGTAGTATATTGGGTCGGTGGCGAATTTCCACGGCGTGCTGGGCGGAAAATCATTAAATCCTCCTCTTCGAAATTAATCGGCAAAGTACTGTCTGCGTGTGTACAACGAGTGTGAAGTGGAGAGGTATAACGTATACACTGACATGTATAATATTGTATTACCGTCAATGGAGACATCGAGTTTCGTGGTGAATACTACCCACGCATGAAAATTCTCCGAATATAAGGCGGAGGGAATTTATAGTGGCTTACACTCTTCTATAATTAAGCGAACCTTACGAATTCGTGTTGTTTCAACACTCGTTTATAAATATTTCATCCTCTGTTAAAACGTTTATTTTTCGTCGAGTGGGTGCTGCGTGTTAGAGTTCACCAAATTGTCGAGCAGCAGCGCATAAGAATATGTAGACGGGTAAATAAAAATAAATTTTCCTCGTATAAAACTCGATATCATTGAAAAGTGATTGAACGAAAACGTCCGACCCACTGCGATGGCGATTGATTGAAATGTGCAGGAGAGGCCCCCAAATAGAGTGTCTTGATGATCATCTGATCGTGTCAAAACAAAATAGATATATACCTTCTAAAAAAGGTAGTTTTACTGTTGACTCTTATATTTGTACAGCTATAAAATATTGTTATATTATTATGGTTGTCCCGAAAATCCGATAAATAATAATAATACGATTGCTTTTACTGCAGTGAATGCATTTATTTTCCAAGTCAGTTTTTGGTTTTTTTTATAAATATAGTTTTTACGAATGAAGAAGTACTCAGAACAGTATTAGCAAAACGTACACTCATAGAAGCGATTAGAGAAAGACACTGGAAAATGGTTGGACATGTCATGAGGCACCCAGAAGAATTGCATAATATAATATTAGAGGGTATGATAGAAGGAAAGAACTGCAGGACGTCCCCGAAACTCTTATTTAGGACAAATTAAATGCTATGCAAAAGTTAAAACCTTTAAGGAACTTAAAGAAAAGGCGAATAATTGGTTAGAATGGAGAATTGGAGTTGTAAACCAACCTTCGGGTAAATAAAAAAAAAAAATAGTTTTTATATGACTTCAAGTATTGACGAGTTATGCGGGTAAATAACAAAACAATTTTTTACAAAATATAAATGATGTGTTATAAAAATGAAAAAAAAAATGTTTTGGTACCAAATTGAAGCTCAGGTAAATAAAACGTTCTAAAATATCTTATTAATAATTCCAAAATATAATATATCTTAATCGTATATGGTCATCCACGTCAAATATCAAATACGATAAGTCCAACAGTATGAAAAGTGTAAACTAAAATAATGTTTTACCGAAATGTTTTTGTTAAATCCAGCATGTAATATTATTATTTTCTTTTGCACAAAATTATATACCTATTATACGAGTGTACCACAGGGCATAGAGTACCTACCCATGACGTTACAATAATAAATTTGTTTTTTTTTCATGTTTTTCAGTATGGTTTCGTATCTAAAACTATGCGGGATCGTGTATATAAAAATTAATTTTGCGGAATGGTGCACCGTGTATGTATAAAATGTTAATTAAAATATACACGATTCCACAATTTTGCGAATAGTCTTGCAGCCAGTTTAATATTAGAGTGAATTA